CAAAGATGTAATAGAGAAACATCTAATAAATCAAAAATATGAATAATTGCTAAAGTTTTTAAAAAAGGTCATGCTTCACTAACCTTATTAATTTCTTTTGAAGTAGTAACAGGAAAAGTAGATAAAGATGTACAAAAATCTGTTTTTTCCCAATCTGATTAAAAACAAAATAATATCCGTTTCTATCAGCCTGGTGCCAATGTTATTTTCATCAATGCATGAATGAACTTTACACTTCCTGTGTCAGTTATTGTTCAGGTGTCCAGTCAAACAGTTGAGAGTACTAATCCAGAGATACAAGCACAAAATTTAGGCTGACATTTCAGTGCAGCGTGAAGCCAGTGCTGCATTGACTGTGTAGAGACTTATGCATGGTGAGTTCGGCCATGTTCATGTTTCTCTCTGATCAATTGATAACACTCCCACCTCTGAGTTAGTAGGTCTTGTGTTCCAGCTCCATTAAAGTGGCTGGATTTTTTTTTTTTGGTTAACCAATCTGAGTTAAAATCAACAATTGTCCTACAATTAATTGTTGTTTGTAGAAGACAGAGTTAAGTGATCATACAGTCAATGGGTCAGATCTAAATTCTGCACTCCAACCATCCATTTACAAACAGTTGCAATTAACAACTAATAGGGGGTTGATGATCCAAAATATCTCTTCTCATCAATGGGAAGTCCAGCACATCAGTGCACATAATAAGGCTGAACCACTGCATCCATCTTTGGCCAAAAATGTTGAGTGGATAATCCATCTGGGCCTCTTCCTGAGGTTCCCAGCATCATAGGTGCCAATCTTTAAACAATTTGTTTCACTCCATGGATATGCAAAAGGCTATGGGGCCTGACAACACTCCAACAGTAATGAAGGTGTGTTCCAGAATTTTCCATGACCCCAGCCAAGTTGTTCTGGTACTGCACAACACTAGCATCTATGTGAAAGTGTGGTACATTCCCTAGGTATGTGTTCACAAACAGCAGGACAAATCCAACCAAGCAAAGTTCCATTCCATCTGCCTACTCTTCATCAGCAAAATGATGGAAGGAATTGTCAACCATCTTACCAACCCACATTTTCAAAGGAATAACTGGCTCACTGATGTTCTGTTTTGAGCTGCACCATGGCCACTCAGTTCCATACTGCATTACAACCTTGGACCAAACATGGACAAAACAAGCTGAATTCCAGAAGTAACTGTCCTTCATATCTAGGCAGTATTTAGCACAAAGCTGAAAGAACTGCTGGAAATCAGAAACAGAAACAGAAATTGCTGGAAAAACTCAAGTCTGGCAACATCTGTGGAGAGCATCAAGAGTTAACCTCTCAGGTTCAGTGACCCTTCTCCTGCCCTGAAGGGTCACTGGATCTGAAATATTAACTCTGATTTCTAGCATTTAGCAGAGTACGGCATCAAGTAACCCCCATAATACAAAGTCAATGAGAATCGGGGAGGAACTCGCTGCTAGTTGGAGTTAGATGTAACTGAAAAAAAGATGATAGTGGCTTTGAGATCAATCATCTCTGCCACAAGACTTCTCTGTAGCCATTCCTCAAGGTAGTATGCTGGGCCCAACTATCAGAAGTGGGGATATTTTCTGAAGCTTGTGCAGTGTTCAGCACCATTGCAACATCCCTGATAGTGAAGCAGTCCATGTCCATTTGCAGCAAGTCCTGGGCAACGTCTAGGCTTGAATGTGTAAATGGCAAGTAATATTCATGCCACACAAGTACCAGGCAATGATCGTTTCCAGTAAGAGAGTATATAATCATTGCTTATGCCATTGAATGTCAAGAGGCATTGATATTTTATTTTTAACAATTCATTCATGGAATGTGGGTATTGCTGTATGGGACAGCATTTATTGCTCGTCACTAAATGCCCTTGAATTGAGTGGCTTGCTAAGCCATTTTGCAAAACATTTAACAGTTCACTATATTTTTGTGGGTCTGGAGTCACATGTTAGCCAGACAAAGTAAGGCTGGCAGATGTTCTCCCCTAAAGAACATCAGGGATCAAAATGAGATTTTACAACAATCAACAATGATTCCATGGTTGTTGTTTATACCAGCTTATTTGTTGTTATCAAATGTAAATTTTCACCATTTGACATATTGGGATTTGAAGACATATCCCCCAAACATAAGTTTGGCATTGTGAATTGCTGGTCCAGTGACATGACCACTGTGTCACCACTTCCCTTGAATTCCCCATTATCAACATCCTCTGGGTTACCATTGACTAGAAACCGAACTAGGCCTGCAATTTACATACAGTGGCTACAAGAGTAGGTCAGAGGCCAGGAATTTTGTGGGAAGTAACTCACCTGCCATCTCCCCCAATCCCTGTCTGTTATCGACAGGCACAAGTCAGCAATGTGATAGAGTACCCTCCATTTGTCTGGATGGACAGCTCCAAAAACACTCACTAAGCTTGATGCTGTTATGCAAGGAATAGAGGGATATGGACCAAGGGCAGGCAAAGGGATTAGTTCAATTTGGCGTCATGTTCCGCAGAACATCGTGGGCTGAAGGGCCTGTTCCTGTGCTGTAAAGTTCTATGTTCTATCCAAGGCACAGCAGGTGACTTCACTGGCACCCTAACCACCATTTTTAATATTAAATCCCTTCACCACCAACACACAGTAACAGCAATGTATACCATCTAGACGATCCAATACGATAACTCACCAGGACTCCGCCGAAAACACCTTTCAAACCTATGACCTCTACTACCTAGAAGCACCACAGCAACAGGTACTTGGGGTCAATACACCTGCAATTTCTAAGTTATACACCATCCTGACTTGCATGGTAGTGCCATCCCCTCACTGTTACTGTATCAAAATGCTGGAGTTAAGTTTCTAAAAGCACTGTGATCATCCCTACACCCCAAGTTACAGTGGTTCAAGAAGGCAGCTCACCACCACCTTCTCTAAGGCAATTAGGAATGGACAATGGTCTAGTTAGCAACACCCACCTTTCACAAACAAATAAAAATCTCTCAAATTTCTACCAATCTTTCCATGTGGAAGTCTTTCTTAACTTTACTGAGGTTGTTGACTTGCTCGCTGAGCTGGCTTGTTCTCGTTCAGACATTTTTCACCAAACTAGGTGACATCATCAGCAGACCCTCCAATGAAGTGGTGTTATTCTACTCCGCTTGGAATTTATACTGTTTGTTCCATTATGGTGAGCAGTGTCATTTCTGGTTTTGGTCTGTATGAGTTTACTCACCATAATGGACCAAACAGTATAAATTCTAAGGGGAGTAGAATAACACCGCTTCATTGGAGGCTCCACTGATGATGTCACCTAGTATGGTGATGAAATGTCTGAACAAGAACCAGCCAGCTCGACAAGCAAGTCAACAACCTCATCCACAACCGGAGCTACAGATCTTTGCCAAAACTTTAATCTTAACTTTACTATTGAAAGACATGGCTCTAATATTCAGGCTATGTCCCCTACACCTAAGCACCCTACATAACTGTAATATCTTCTATCTATCTTATCAGTTCTCATTAATATCTCAAAATTGGCAGTCCCCATTTCCTACGTTATAAATAACTTGGTTTGAGTAAGTGCTTTGTTTAAGTCACTCTGTAATCTTCTTATTCCCAAGAAACAAAACTATGATTTGTGCAATATAACACTTGGAGTTTAGATATAATTCTGTTAATTCCATGCTGTAACACCTCCAGGACCAATGTATCATTTCCTAAGGTGTGGTCCCTACAACTGAAAATAGTTCTCCAGGTGTGTGGTATAACTCAGACTCTGTACACCTGCAGGGTAGGTTTTAACCCTTGTATTCTAGTCCTCTAGATACTAAGGCCCATATTCCATTATTTTATGTTCTTATCTATGATGTTTTAAAACCTATATACATTGACCTGCAAGTCTCCCTGTACAGTCACCGTTCCTAGCTTTTCATCACTTAGAAAGTACTTTGATTTATTCTGTTTGTATTTCCCTACATTGAAATCCATTTGTCACAGTTTTGGATATTCACTTGATATTCAGTATCTCTTCATAGTTGTGTACTTCCATTTATGTGGCTTCCAGTTTGACATCTTTAAGCTATCAGCAAACTTGGATATATGGCTGTCCATGCCAAATTATTGTAACTAATAAAATATAGCTAATAGTTAAAGCCCCAACACAGATCTGTAAGACATCACTTGTCATATCCATCAATTATGGTACCTGCCTATTTTCCCTGCTGTTCAGTCAATATCATAATGAAGACAATAATTTGCTTTCAATTACACAAACCTGAATTTTTGATAAGTCTCTAATGAGAGGCTTTATCAAATATCTTTTGGAAATTCATATAAATAACATTCATAGACATTCCTCAGACTAGTATTTCAAACACTTTTTTTTCTTCAAAAAATTCATTCAGGTTTGTCAGGAATAACCTGCCCTTCACAACCCAAGTTGGCCCATTCTGATTAGCTGAAAGCTTTTAAGGTGCTCAATTACTCTCTACTTTAATATAGACGTTATAAGTTTCACAAATTGGTTCACACACTCAGGTTTCCTTTCTCACCTTTCTTAAATAACTAAGTGGTCTGGAGTTTTCTCAATCTACATGAATTGTTCAATTGAGAGAATGAGAGAGGAATACAGTTTGGGCATTAAGGATTCTCTCCTTCCTGCAAAACCATGGGATGAAAATCACTTAGTCCTGCGCATTTGGCACTGTTTAGATTCATTACATTTATCAGTATTATTATTTTGCTTATGTCAATTTAGAAGAAGAGATTGAGTATTCCCTCTAGTGTCCTAATGAATGTTGTCCTTTCACCAACACATTGCAAACAAATTATCTGGTTATTATTGCCTTGCAGTTTGTAAATTGGCAGCCGCCATTTCATACGTTATAAACTACTTCGTTTGACCGAGTGCTTTGGGACTCCGAGATCCTGAAAGACCCTACTTCAATGGAGTTTTTACATAAGAAAGAAAAAAAAGTCTGAAAACGTCTTCATTTCATTCAACAAATTATCCATGTTGTCTTTTAAAAACATTTAAGTGTTTAAATACAAACTTTATGGGCAATAGAATAAAAATTTCCATGAAACCTAATGAACCAAGTCAATTAATCCGCAAATAGACAAACAATATGCCTAGAAGTGCGTGAGAGTACAATTTTCTATGTAGTTACCAGACCTTGTGACAATCCCAGAGAAGCCCTGTCTCCTCCCTGCATTTGTGGTTGGTGTACTTCCGTTCCTTTCTCTGTCTGAATGAGACACGCGTCTGACCCTGTACCAGCCCTGGCAGCCGCCAGGTCGGCGACAATCGCTGTCCAGATTACCAGAGAAGCAAAAGTGTAAAAGAATCCAACAAAGAGGGAAAATAAAGTAAGAGGAGGATAGAAACACACACAGCGAAAAGTATAACAAATACAAAAGTCAAAGTCTGACAGCTGGTTCATTCTTCAAATCCATATGGTGCAGCACTTGTTTTTCCACAGAGTGTGGGATCCTGTCTGTTTTGTTATTGTTGCGAGGATAGTCCCCTCAATCACTCCAGGACTGGAGCAGCTCCAGCTGATAGTGCGCAGCCGATGACGGGATATTGCTCGGTGAGTGAGTGTCAGTCAGTGCGTTGTTGCTGTGAGTGTTACACTACATCAGATACACTGTGACTCACTCTTACTGACATTGTATCCTCACCTCTCTCTATACTCTTATCTCTTCAGGTGTATGTCTGGTGTCCGCTTTCCTTCTTAATTATGTTAAGTTCTATGTCTTGATTCTCCATCTTTTCCGTTATTATCGGTGTGTTTGTTTGTTTGTTTGTTTGTTTGGGAGGTGGGAGGGGAGCAGAGAGTGAGACACTGTCGTGCTTCAACGCAGTCAGTGTGTGACAGCGAGCCAGCGGTGGAGATGTCGGATGACGACTCGAGGGCCAGCACCAGCTCCTCCTCGTCTTCAAGTTCTTCACAAGCAGCTGAGAAAGAGACGAGAAACAACAACGACAGCATCACCGGCGGCGGCGGCAGCAGCGATAACAACGGCGGCGGTGGGGGTGGTAGCGGCGGAGGGAGCAAGAGGAAAAGAGAAGCGAAGAACAACACCATGAGCAAGAACCCTAAGCTACTCACCACCAGCGCCAAGAGGTGAGTGCGGATGGCGCGGGCCGGGCAGCGCTGGTGGTTGGGGGGAGGGGGGCACGAGCTCCGGCCGTTGGTTTGGGGTGGGGGGGGGGAGGGGGGGGGGTCATGGGGCTCCTGCTTTGCTTCGCTTCTCTTCTCTTCTCTTTCCCCTCCCCCCACCCTCCGGGGTTTCCTCCTTTCTCTCACCCGCGACACGCCAGACTTCTTTAACACAGGAGGCTCATTTGCATATTAGCTAAGATCATTTTATACAAAAAAACAGGGCCGAGTTCTGACCCCACTGCCCCGGGTTTGCATTGCTGTCGCCAACTACTTTCCACTGGGCCGGCTTGTGCGGACTCTGCTCGCCGGGGGAGTGCGGCAATCGAGTTGGAAATTTTTCACTGTATTAGCTTCTTGGAGCTGTGAGAGGCGGCCATGTTTTTCCCCCCCTCTCGCTTTCTCGTACCGGCTGAGGGTCAACGTCTTTATTTTTTTCTTAACTTTTTGAAGTCGTGAAATTTCGGGGAATGTGATGGGAATGTGGCATTCTTAGGTATGCCGTGAGTTTTTAAAATGGTCAATGTTTTATGTTTGACAGAATCCAGAAGGAGCTGGCTGACATCACGTTGGATCCACCACCGAACTGCAGGTTAGTTATTTCTCAGAAAATAAATGGTCTGCTTTAATGTATGCGTTAAAAGGGCGTGCGATTTTTGTTTTATTTTAAAAATCTGGTTAATGAATTAAAGGAGTAGTGATTGTTGTATTGAAACAGAAATTGGGATTCAGGCCAATTTTCTATTTGTAGAATCAAATAGATCTTAAACGTCAGTACTTTGAAGTGAAGTTTCCCTAATAAGTTTCATTTTGGAAGCTTGAAACTTTCCTCCACGTTGAGGGGATTCCCATCAGTACTGAACTTCCTGGAAGATTCTTGTCCATCTGCATTTGGGCTGTTTCACAATTGTGATTTTTTTTTTGGTGGGAGGTACTGGGGGTAGTGAAGTGTTCTGGTTGTGTATGTGATAGATATGCTCATTTTTGATAAGTAAAGATTCTATCCTTCACAGATACCGCAAATGCGAGTAATTTGTCTTTAAATGATTTTAATCAATGCTGATAAGATGGTGACAAGTTCCCATCCAATGGATAATTTTAAGTCTCACCTTTCTTTTCAAAACAAAACTCCTTAAATTTTTTTTTTGACTGGTTTTGGAAGACCAGAATAAGGTCTGCCTATAATTAACTAATGTACAAAATGTGAGATAGTGATTGAGATGTTGTCACATTTTAGGACAAAACAAGATTCGCAGTTATGATGTCTTCTGGATTGTAGTTCGTTTTTGTTTTCTTGATGAGAACAAAAATGGCACTCAGTACCTATGTCGTGAAAAACGTTTAAAAATCATTTCCACTTGAGTTGGATCACTTCCTGGTTGTGGAACTCTTTCACTTCACTTATAACTTGAGCATTTATTTAAAACACCACCCTTCTTGGATATTAGTCATTGATTCATTTGTTGTATATTTGTCCAAGATAGAGCCTACAGTTATGTTGCGCATGAAAATTCTTATGTTTTATGAAGGAGACAATTGGAACGATTCCATGAACTTCGGGTCCAGAAATAAGTTTTACGATATTAATTAGGTTTCAGAAATGATATTGGCATGGGATGTACGCTGCACTCTTGGTATTCCATCACAAAATGGGTATGTTTTCTCTCTAATTTATGAGATAGTAAATAGATAAGTGAGTTTAAAACCTGTAATTCAATCAATCTATGTGATAGCATAAGCTGTGAATAAATGGGTGACAGTAGAATCTCAAAATTACTGAAATACTGCACAAAGCTTATGAGTTATAACTAAGAAATTTGAATAATGTTTGATTGAAATGCACTGGAGTGAATGAATGTACAACATAGGCATACCAGCTTTGGCCATACTAGTGTTTTTAGATACAACTCTGAGGTAGACTTGCTTCAGTATGTACATGCTCTGGCATTGCAGGCATTGGTGCCTGGTTTTGCGGATAACTGTGCTTGGTTTTGATTTCTCCCAATTTAAAACAAACTATTCTGTGATGATATAGGGGTTGGGCAGAAATATGGAAGGTTGAGTTAACCTAACTCTGACATGGAGGGGAAAGTGGTTTCCTTAAATGTGCATGAGAGTTTGCTGCATTGATAACCTATTGCTATGATAGTATAGGCACAGGCCCGCAGGATTGTTGGTGTTATTCTTAACACCTTTCTCGGACACTTGAATGAAAAGAAAAATTGTATGACATTACTCTCTGTTGTGAGGCAGCCAGATTGGATGCCATGGAGCAGAAAGCCACTTTAGTGCATTATCTAAATGTTGAGCAGGCAGATCAGTTGGATTTCCCTTGAGCTGGATCAGTTTGACACAGTGCTTTAGGTAAGTATAGATCTTCCTATCTAACTGCACCCCAGTATTCTTGATTTCTTTTTCTTCTATGCGCATATGTGCAAGGATGTGGACTCTGGCATGGAGCTGTTCTAGCTATGGCATTGAAGTAAATCTGAACATACAGGACTAAGAGAACTCTTCATGCAGCAGCTGCTGAATATTTTGCAAACTGAGATGCATGTAGCTACTGATCATCATTCCACTGAAGTGATGGCTTTGAGGGACATCACTGTCCATTCATCATTCTTGATGGACTCTGAAAGAAGAATGAAGAAGATTAGAACAAGTTAAGTACAAGGTTTCAGAGATAGTAGGAACTGCAGATGCTGGTGAATCTGAGATAACAAGGTGTA